CGGAAAGGATTTCACTCCTAGAAAGTCTCTAAGAGCACTAGTCATGGAGAAATCAGCTAAAAGACAAACTGAACATATGGATCTTCATTCAGAAACTTCAAAATACCCCCAGGCTAATTCTACTGAGTTACCCGAGGACTCCAATGGTCATGTCGAAGATTTTGTGGTGGAGTCAGACCACGAAGTGTCAAGGAGAACCCGGCAGACGACCTTGGAAATGTATTTACAGAAAATTAAACAACAAAACATTGAAAATAAAGTTAGAATGGTAAGTGTCGCAACATTATTTCCTGCTTTTAAGATGATGTTTGGTTAGCTAGTTTTCATTGTCAAGTTGGAGCCAAGCGCCTTTGTAGAAAGATTTCGCGAAATTATTGCGAATTTTACTGCCTCGTTGGCCGAGTGGTCGCAAATGCGACGGTCTTGGGTTCGATTCCCGGGTCGGGAAAAGTATTAATGGGATTTTTTTTTAATCTCAGTAGTAGCACGGAATCTGGAATTGTGCCCGGTATGCGGCAATAGGCTCACCCCCTATTACATGAGACTTATAACATAAAATAGTGAAAAGTGGGTGTTACGTTGTACAGTGGCCTTAAGTGCCGTAATGTGCATCTCTGCCTACCTCTTCGGGGATAAAAGGCGTGATGTTATGTTATGTTATTGCGATTTTTAAGACAAACGTTAAAACGATAATACTTTCAAAGCATGACTTTACTTGTTTATGCTTCATTAACTTCCTTAAATTTTGTGAATTCTAAAATATGTTTCTTTTACAGGAAGAACTCGTGCGCAATTCATTGAAAGCGCCAGCAAGAGATACATTGAGCCTCTTCAAAGTGCCATCCAAACCGGCGCCGCGTCGCTTGAAGTCCACACAAACTAAGCCTAGAGCACAAGTCAAAACTATCACGGCATTCGGCGAATTACCTTCGGAAGTCATTGAAGATATGAAGTACAAACCGCCGAAGAGATTCCAACCGACCAACGCGTCCTGGATCACTAAAAGACTGTACAAGTTCTTGGAAACTAAATTAGAACCCAAGTAAGTGAATACATTTTCATCTTCATTTTCATCAACAGCACCACGCTTGCACAATGCGGGTTGACGATTTCAAACTTATAATTAGAAATCATAAGACCAGGTTTCCTCACGTAATTTTCCTTCACCGTTTGTCAGTAGTGTCTAAATAATCTTAGAAAGTACATATAACTCGGAAAAGTCACATTGGTACTTGCCGTTGGTTTCGAACCCTCACCCTCATGAATGAAAAGCGGGCGTCTTAAACCTCCGGGCCACCACACAAGAGTCGACCTAGCAACTAACTCCTATACAAACTCTAACACCTTCTCGATGTTGCGGAGAACCCAACGGGTTACCGGGGCTCCGGCTCAAAGTGCAGGAGTAGGAACGGGGTGGATTTTAGTCAGTAAGACTCTGACACTCCCTCCCGCCTCACCCAGGCGGGAGAAGTCATTTGATGATTATCCTGTATCCTCCCTTAAAAAAAAGACCTCGATCGTCTTGGGTTGCATGCAGCGTATCCTACAGTTGTTCGTACGCGTTTATCTACGGAACTACTGGTTCAAATTCAAAGATTATTTTTTGTTGGATAGTCCATTTATCGAGGAAGGCTATAAAATATCACGCCACAACTTATTAGTTAGTTTAGTATAAGCGCGTTAGTTTAGTAGTAGTAGCTAGTCTAACATAAAAGGATATATAATTAAAAAGAAGAATGTATATAAAATATCAAATAGCAAAAAAAAATATATAACTGGTATAAGCATTAGCTTATTAAGAATAAAGAGATGAGAGAGGGAAAAGATAAAATAAATAAAATAAAATAAAAATAAAATAAAAAGCCTTTTATTTCCTTCAGAAAATGTACACTTACAATACCAATTGAATTTTTTTTTTTTTTTTTTTTTTTTTAAAAAAGTTTTAATTAGAGGTACATATACAAATAAAAGTTAAATATACCTCTAAGTTAATGTTTTTCCAGTTTTGTATGTACGATTTTTGTATGTTATACTATGTATGTTCTTCTGTAGGAACCCCTCTGCAGGTAAAGGCCTCCTCCAAATTTAGCCAGTTTTCTCTGACTTGCGCTATTTGCATCCAGTTTGGTCCCGCTGTGCGTTTTATTTCATCCTCCCATCTGTTGTATGGTCTCCCTTTCTTTCTTTTACCCACTGGCCCCCTCCATTCTAACAGTTTTCTTGTCCACCTGTGATCTTGCAGGCGTGCTATGTGTCCGGCCCACTTCCATTTTAACGCCAGAGCTTGTGCTAAACCGTCTGTTGCTTTTGTAATGTTACGTATTTTTGTATGTCTTATTTTGTTTATTCTCTTAATGTTAAGCATACTCCTCTCCATTCCCCGTTGGCACGTTGTAATTTTGTCTTTGACGTTTTTGTTGAACTTCCATGTCTGACAAGCATAGGTTAGGCATGGTATAAGGCAGGAATTCATGACCTTTGTCTTCAATTTGATTGGCATGTTACTCTTAAATATTTCTTTAAAGCTCCAGTACTTGTTCCATGTCAACTGGGCTCTGCGTTCAATCTCCTGATAGTTGTTTTGTCTGTCGAAGCTTATTTGTTTGCCTAGGTAAATGTATTTTTCGGTATATGGGAGAGGTACGCTATCGACATAAATTGGTATCTTGGTGTTATTGGTCATTACCATAGTTTTAGAGAGGTTCATTTCTAGCCCAGCGAGCTTGCTCGCTTGGTTTAGTGACTCCACCATATGCTGTAGTTCTTTTCCTGTCTCTGACATCAGTACCAAGTCGTCGGCGAAACGTAGATGGCTTAAGTGCTTTGATTTTACTTTTATACCACATGTATTCCAGTTAAGTTTGTTTATTACCGACTCTAATGTGGCTATAAATAGTATAGGGGACAGTGGGTCGCCCTGTCTCACGCCTCTTTTTATAGGAAACCAAGAACCCGCTGTTTCTAGTTTAACTCTGCTTTTGCTCTTCTTGTATATGCTTTTGATCACTCTTATGTATTCGTTTTCTACATTCTGTGTTGCTAGAGTTTCCCAGATGTAGTTGTGTGACACCGAATCGAATGCTTTTTTGTAGTCGATATAGGCCAAGTATAGTGGTCTGCTTCTCTCTTGGTATTTCTCGATGAGAAGTTCGAGTGTGTGGATGTGGTCGATGGTCGAGAAGCCTTTTCTGAATCCTGCCTGTTCGACGGGTTGTCTTGTTTCCAATGTAGAGCTAATTTTTTTTGTAAGGATTGTAGAAAATACCTTATATGTACTTGGCAGCAGACTTATTGGTCTGTAGTTCCCTATATCATTCGGATTTCCTTTTTTGTATAAAAGAATTATGTTGGATTCAGACCATTGCGTGGGTGTCTCACCAGATTCGAGGATAGAGTTGAATAAATTTGTAAAAGGTGTGGCTAGTGTTAGAGCGGCTATCTTTAAGGTCTCGTTTGCCAGGTTATCAGAGCCCGGGCTTTTGTCTAGTTTTAGTTTATTCAATGCCTCAATGACGTCGTTATCAGTAATTTGGAGTCTATTCCGTACACTGCCGTCACTGTTGTAATTTAGGTTCTCGTGGCTAGTGTCTTCTGGTCCTTTTGTGCTGTAGAGATCTCTGTAGAACTCTGTCGCTATACTGATGATGTCGCCACGATTGTTTTTGGCCAATTCCCCTCGTTTTAGCTCTTCTATCCAGGTTTTATTTGGTTTCAGCTCCTTATATGCCTTTTTCGTGCTTCCAGTTTGGCGTAGATATTTTTCAATAGTTTTGTATCTGTAGTTGGCGTAATCTTTTTTTAAGTATTTGTTTACAAGCTTATAAAGTGCTGAGATTTCGTTTTTTGTTGCTCTGGTTTTATTTGAACTTTTTTGCAGGTCTTGCCTCCTTTTAAAAAGTTTTAATGTACGCTCTGAAAATATTTTGTGGATTTTCTTTGGGTTTTGTGTTGCTCGGGCGTCATGTAAACTTGAGGTGATGATTTTTATTAAGTTGTCGTAATACTTCTGGACTGGGACTCTAGTGGCGGCGAACATTTGTTCCTTCGATATGTAAAAGTTTAGGTTTTCTTTGAACTTGGAGATTTCTTCTTCATTTTTTATTATACTCTGTTGACAGTTAGTAAACTTTGTTCTGCTTTTTTTGAAAAATGTATATTGTGATATTGAAGCTCTTACTGGCCTGTGATCCGAGGGGTAGTTAATGTTCAGTACTTCTATATTTTTGAATAATCGTGGTCGGTTTGATAGCATAAAGTCGATTTCGTTTTTGTTCGCTCCATCCGGTGATCGCCAGGTCCATTTATGTTTTGGTTTTTTCTTGAAGAAGGTGTTCAAAATTGACAGTTTGTTTTCACTGGCAAAATCGATTAATCTTTGTCCTCTCTCGTTTCTAGTTCCATATCCGTGTGCTTTCATGATTAAATGTTCCTCTTTTTTTAGTATCCCAATTTTAGCATTTAGGTCACCCATCAGTATGAAATCTTTATGTGTAAGTTCCAATGCTCTATTTAGTGTCGCATAAAAGTCGTCTATCTCATTCTCGTTTGCTTGTGCGGTAGGGGCGTAGACTTGAATGATGGATAATCTAGTACTCACAAATTTCAGGTTTAATATGGCTACTCTTTCAGAAATGCCAAGGTAGCTTTCTATATTATTTTTAAGGTGTTTTTTAACTATAAAACCTACTCCATGTCTTCCAGGTGTGTGACCTGTGTAGCAGAAGATGAAGTTTTCGTACTCTTCGATCTTGTTTCCAGTCATTCTTGTTTCTGCTAAACCTAAAACGTCGTATTTAATATCTTTGAAAGCTTCATTTAATTCTATCAAACGTTCATATGATGAAAGCGTTCTAACGTTGTATGTCAGAACATATAACGTTTTTTCTGGGGTTTCATTTTTTGGAGGGTAGTTTGGAGGGTTTTGGTCATGATCTTCCTCGGTGACCAGCCGGCTTGGAAGATGTGTTTGGTTCTCTGATAATGGTTGTTGTATGTTGACGTTCCGAGAGGGGGGCGGTAGTTGCTATATATTAACTTTGTTATTTTGCTGTGGATCTGGTGAGTTGTTCGTGCTCCTGTTGACCAGGTAATTCAGCATGCCCGGTTTTAAAATGCCTTCCGATAGGCTCGAAGTTCTTCTTACTTGCGTTTGAGATTTGTTTTTCTTATTAGCCTGTGTATTTGATTCTACTCCTTTAGTAGTTTTGTTTTCAGGTGAAGTTGAAAGCATTCTTTTGTTATTTCCAGCTGTTTTGTTTTTTCCACTTATGACAAGCTTATCGTATTTTATTTTTACAATGTTTCCCTTATCCCTTTCGATTCTTACTTGTTCTTGAAGCTCCTTTCTCTTCTCCAGGATATTTTGTGGGAAATCTTCAGTTATATAGTAACCGGTATTTTTTAGTGCATTTCTATTTTTAAATAAATTTATTTTTGTGCCAAGCGTACAAAAAGTGACAATTATTGGTCGAGGTCTTACACCCTTCTTGCCTATTCTTCTGACTTCTTGAATATCCCTGCGATCGAGTTCTTGAGAAAAATGTTCTTTGATAAAGTTCACTATGATATTTTCGAGGTTAAAATATGATGTTTCCACTTCTTTTATTCCGAAAAAGACGATGTTGTTTTTTCTTGCTTGTTTTTCCAGAAAATAAAGTCGCTTTCCTTGATTTTCATATTTTTCCTTTAGATCTTCGTATTTTTCATTGAATAGTTTAAACTTGTCTTCCAGTATGCTGTTTATATTTTGAGTAACTTTTTCCGTCACTTTATCTCCACTTTTTTCTATTGCGGTTTTCTGTTCATCCAAATCTTGTCGAATTTTTCTAAGCTCGTGTATAATTTCCTCCATCTCTTAGCTCGTTTTATTTAGTGCTCAGCAATTATTCAAGTGATTGTTCTGGTTCAGCTAGCGCCCTCTTGTGTTTCTGTGTCGTATTACTACGGTTATTGGATCGTTCGAAAATGGTTCTGACTTGTATTAGTGATACGTGTAGATTTCCACAGATGTCACTAGTGTCTTCGTTGGTATCTCTACTCACTTGACGGATCGACCATAGATCGAAGATGGTTCCTACTTGTGTTAGTAGTACGAGTATAATTCCACAGATGTCGCTAGTATGTTAGTATAATTTTGACACTTTCTTGGCGGATCAAGCATAGGTATAAGATGGTTCGGGCTTGTGTTGGTGATTAGTGATACCGGTAGATTTCCAAAGATGTCGCTAGTTTCTTTGAACAGATGCACCCCCACTTCTTGACTTCTAATTTGTGCAAGTCATCCCGGTATCGATCAAGTAGGTTTATTTATATCACTATTACATTAGAAAACTGATTTCCAGAATTATGAAAGTTCACGATTTACTTCAGTTCTAGTTAGTCCTTCATTTCAAGTTGTCTAAACTATGGGAGATCTAACTGTATAAACACGAACCACGGATAGCTCACATTCGAGCAATTTTCACTGTTTATAGAGTTTTCACACAATGTAAGACGTTATCCACAATAAATGTTGTAAGTCACTTAATTGTTTCTCCACTTTTGTCCTTTCCACTGCGTAAGTTCACTTATTTTTATTTTAAGATCGCTTTTATTACGGAGCCGATGTAAACATTGGCACAGTAGCGCCCTCCTCTCGAGGGAAAAGATACTTACTAACAAATATTACTTCAACAGGTACGATTACAAAGCCCGCGTGCGTGCTGAAAAGCTAGTAGAAACGATATACCACTTCGCGAAGGACCTGCGGCGACACGATGTAGCACCAACGGACGCGGTCGACGTACTAAAACATGAACTAGCGAGGCTTGAAGTAGTTCAAACCCACTTTGAGTTCTACGAGTTCTTCCACGAGTTCATGCCGAGAGAAGTTCGTGTTAAGGTGAGATTTGGTGTTCCTAACTCTTTCATGTTTGTACCAGTCGGGAATCTAACTCAAAACTGTATTTTGCCGAAGATAGTCAGCACTAGACAGAGGTGCGTTTAATTAACATTCACTTAGCAGTTATGTATGTTATGAATCACTCATGCCTATCGCCACTGGTGTATCAGAACAATAATTTTCGAAAACCCAAAAAAGTTCCAATAACATATTGATGAGGATCGAGGAACCTAATCCAGGACCCAATATTATCTATCCAATCATAATATCAATAAATACCAGTGTAACACGGCAATATTTTTAATCATTCAAAAAATGTTTGGTTTCCAGGTGGTTCCTGATATCGTGAACAAAATAGCTCTGCCCAGGCACGGAGTATTCTCAGATATTCTAAGAGGGAACAATGTACAAGGATAACAGTATTTTCCTTAAAATTATCGTTTTAAGATGAGTTGTTAATTAATTAATTATGGATTGATATTAATAAATGTTTTAAGACATTGTCTACTTCGTGTTTTTAATTTAGAACCTCATAAAAACCTTTGATTGAAATGGGTTCACTTATAGACTGGAAGATTCTTACAAAAATCGGCACGGCCCGCTCTGATATGCAAAATGCAAGAAATTTTAATGAAACAAAAATGACGTATCATAAGGGGCCGTCCATTAACCTCTTGTATGTCGGTATAAGACACATTAGAAAACGTATTGTCTCGCATAGATTCTCGCTCCAATATACTAGAGGTTAATCACGTGAGCCTCAGTAAGGGGAAGGGGGTGTTCGACAAAAAATCACGAGGGGTATGGGGTTTTAATAAAATATCACGTGTATTTATTTTTTTGTTATACACGATATTTTTAATCGTTAACTCGTCGAGTACCGGTTTTGTAGACACAATTATAGAACAATAGGTTGCGGTCACCGGTGACCGCTTGGTGTTTGACAGTTTAAAACAGGGTGTAGTGTGGGTTTATTGCACTATACTGAATAATCCGAAAGCTAAGAAAGTTTTATCCATTACCACATACCGAGTTGTTATTTTCTATTGCCCTGACTTATTCATAGTTAGCACCTTTCTATTTTACGTATTTTTATATCGTCAACTAGGTCACGTACCAGCAAGCGCAGCGTAGGACGTCCATCCGCAAGGTGGACTGACGACCTGATTAAGGTCGCAGGGTGCATGCAGGTCGCTTCAAACCGGCCTGTCTGGAAGTCATTGGGGTGGGCTATGTTCAGCAGTGGACGTCCTGTGGCTGATATGATGATATCGTCAACTCGGCAACTAAAGTTTATCTTAAAATGTATGTAATGAAGTTACGCTTTTATTTTGCCTCACACTGTGCGAGGTTAAAGAAATACAAAATATTTAGTATCTGGAATCTAACAATAGTTGCTAGGACTTCATAACTTAGTAAGAGGTGCTTAAAAAAGGAGAGAACAGGTAGATTCGTTTAAATAAGTCGTTGCCCTAGCTCATTCTTCCAGACAGTCTATCTCTCTCTATCTAAACATAAACCCTACTTTGAAACACTTATTAAGCCTACTTATATGAAAATGCGAAAGATTGTGAGAATGTATGTGTTACTCTTTTACCCCAAAACTACTGAAGGGGTCGAGATCAAATTTTGACCAAGAATAGAATGGATAGGAATAACACTACTTTTTAATCCATGAGAACGCGGGCAGAGACAATGCAGAAGCTAATCTATATTAATAAAAATGAATTTCCGTCCGTTAGTCTCACTAAAAGTCGAGAACGGCTGAACCGATTTCGCTGATTGTCTTGAAATGTTTGTGGAAGTCCAGGGAAGGTTTAAAAGGTGAGAAAAGAGTTTTTAGGCGGTACGAAGTTTGCCGGGTCTGCTAGTGTAAAATAAAACAAAAACCTCCGGAATCTAGGACTTGTTTATTTCGAAAATATTAGGATACAAATGTAAACCTATGTTACAAATTACAGTACCACGGAGCACCATACACATAAAATTATATTGCAATTACATAGGTACAATTACAGAGAACGATTCAACTTACAAATGAAAAATACATCTTGCTTACAACTATTGTGTATAGAAGGATAAAGGCGAAGCTTTAGTCTTAGTTGAACCTCTTGTTGGGGCACATCGATTCTTGACATTCCTTAAAAATATTTAATTATACTGCAAGGCTGGATATTCATAAGAAATTAAATAACATTATAAAATACTAAGGTTACATTTTTACGATAAAAATTATAGGAATTCATAATGCATTTAAATTTAACACGTTCAACGCCAGTCGCTGGTGACCGACATCGACATTAACGGAGAATTTGCCTTCAATAGATTTCTATTGGCTGTCAGAGGCTTAAAAAGATAGGGCAATGCTAATTTGACTAAATTTCAAAACTATAATCAACTACACATATTGATAATGAGCTAGCAAAAAGATCGCCTTGTTTTACGTATTCTAAATACATTTTTTAAACTCCGCCGTTTGTAAATAAGTCGAATAATATTCTAGGAATTTAATACATAATTATCAGCTATTATAATTGTATATTATAAATAAGTGCTTTGTTCGACAAAAATAATTCTGTACATTTGCATAGCTATATTGTTGTGTAAATTCTAATAATTCACAAACTAATGGAGAATTAAAGAATGAAATGAGATAATTCATATGACATCTATGAGTTAATACAACGGTGGTCTACCGACCGATTTCAATAACCAATCCCGATTGAGGAGGTTCTCAGTATGTATATTTGTGTGCGTATATCTCGCGATTGTCTGAACCGATTCTGATGAGGTTTTCAGAAAAGCGTTCGGTACACTTAGGAGGTTTTAGTATATTAGCTAACCGACTTCAAAGAAAGAAGAGGGAGTTGAAGTCTGTTTTCTTAAACGTTATAAAAAATTAGGGTAGATGACTAATTTTTATTTTAATGTCCGTCTGGTAAATTATTTTAAAACATTGGACACATATTTTATATTTTTTTACAGAAACGAATACTTTCGACGATATATTAATTTAAATTGTCGCGTGACGTCACTTCTATGTACATTTTATAGGTAGAAATGACGTGTTAGCCCCCACTCCTAAACTTTGATTCGTTTTATCTAAGTATTGTTTTATTATACGACAAAATAAAAAATACGTGCCTAATATTTTTTCATTATCTAACTGACGGACTAATTAGATTTTTAATTTTCATACCCTGTCATCATCCCTATTATTGACATGAAATTTCTGTCAGATATCAAGATAGGTTTGAACATTTTGAATCAAAATCAGTTATTGAAACCAGCCGTATATGAGCAAAAATTCACATATAATGATAAAGTGCACGAATACAAAATAAACCCACGTCCATATTAATATTACTGAACGAATTTACATTGCAATGTTTAGTACATAAATCTGAGGGGTCGATTTTTAAATATAACATGTTTGATACTTAATTTTAACTGTCTGTCGGAATACTCAAACGCTACTCAATTTTAAGTCGCGCTTAAGTATAGTATAGTAGTTCTGTTTTGTCTATAGTGTAAAATGACAGAGATGGCACGATATTTAAGCACGACTTAAAATTGAGTAACGGTTCAGTATTCCGACATTAATCTTTTGAGATGCATACTTCTTTTTAAAGACGTGGGCAGATTTTACGCTATCTCGTTTTCTTAAACATACAATATTGTTTACCTTGGTTTTGTGACAACATTTACAAAGAATTACTGCGATACAAAACAAAGTTCAAAGTAAAACGAGTAACTTTGTGTAACTCTGAGACTGCAATGGAGCTATTTTAAGACATTTTGGCACTACTTAGATTTGTACCTACATTGAATCGAAAATATACAATTTCATCTTTTACAATCGTCATCTATATTTATAGAATTGAAACCCGTTTCCCGTTGTCACGCCATAACTTGAGAACGGCTGGACCGATTTGGCTGATTTTTATTTTATTGTGTTTGTTATTGTCAGGAGAATGTTCTTATGACAGAAGAAAACGGGATTGCGCATACGAAGTCGCGGGCAGAAGCAAGTATTTAAATAAAATAAATGTCATTATAAATTAAAAATAACGTATTTGATTACTATTATACTAAACAGTTCATATGAACGTAATTATTTTATATTTTTATAAGTACAGCTTAAAAGCTTGAATAAAATGCAGTCGAGGGTATATTTAAAGCAGTCGAAATTAAATTGAATAACTACATTAAACCCTAGTACGTTACAAGGGAACATCAAAATATTTAATAATCATTAATCTTTACTTTGGCCGAAATGTTGGCTACTCCGATTTTTGTGTTGCCAATTAAATATATAATTTAAAAAATGCAGAATAGTCTTCACTTAGTACTTTGAAAAAAAAAGGCGGACACGGTCTCTTGAAACAACGACTGTGGCACCTGGCTACTATAGACTTACACGCAGAACTTACACACATTGACATGTAGGACATCTGTAATTTTCTTAAGTCTGATAACCCATTACACACCCACACATAAAAAAAATTATGACATTTCGGTGCTTAAATCATTTCTGAGTGAGTTTATGTCCACCATTTTTTCAAAGTCCTTTGGGCCGTTCAAATATTTCGTAAGCAGATTTTTTACAATTATTTAACACCTCATTCCCCTTGTCAGCAAAAGTAAGCAAAGATCCCCCCTTTGCTTACGTAAATATTTTAAATTATATCTTTTTTATATTGTAATTTTAATATTCTCTTAGATACCATAATGTCTAGTTCTTTCTCGGTCTTTGCTTGTGATTTATAATTTCAATATGAGGGTTGTTCGTGTAAAATAGTAAATAAAGAGACCCCCCCATGGTACTTACGTAATACTTAAACGGCCCCCTTGTAGTTTTGATAGAAATAAAAATTAATGCCTAAAATATAAATTTTCATAAATAAATGGCAGTCAAAATGACTAATCAATAAATCTTAATAAACTTAAGAACTAAGCTAGAAAAATACTAACGCAGTTCAATAATAATAAGCTCTTTAAAAATTAATAACTTAATTAAGGTACATAAAATCAAATTATTGCTTCATATTTCAACAAACGATCAATAAAATGAACTATAACAATTAATTTCACAAATAATACCTTCCTCTGTTTTAAAACCCAGAGAAATAAACGGTCGACATAATATAATAAACCTTTCTTTTGCAAACCCTTCTTACTTTCTTATTTTTTTTAATATTTGACATTACCGTCATATTTATTATCAATTATTCTAAACAATGAAATTCATTGATCTTGTGCATTGGGTCAATATATTTTTTATATATAAAAAAGCGATAGGTATTAATTTAGCGCCAATTAAGCATTCACTTATCAAATTATTCATTATTATACAAAAAAAAACCTTAGATACACAATTTCTTAGACTCATGAAAGCAGAGTTTCAAGTTGTGATCACTGAAAATTCAAAACTATTCCGTCCACAGAAAGTTTATATTCAAATGCGTATCGTTTTAATACTGTTATATGGTTAGTAGGTGGCGCTATTGCGGATATAAAGTCCTATTACGCTTTATAGGTGATAAAAAAGGTCTGAATGGAAGCAAGAGTCTTTAAACTACACTAGCGCCGCTTGAGGTAAATGTAGACGCGAATAATTCTAGGAACATACATATGGGAGTTTTGTGTATCAGACTTTTTGTATATAAATGTTATTTTATGCTTACCTTAAAATGAAAGAAAATTCATTTGTAGCGTTATAGAAGAGGCAACAACTATTACCGATATCGAAGAATTTATTTACTTTTCTATGATTTTTCAATGATGGCTTAATTATTTTCAAAGATTTTTTTGTATGTCAACTACGGAATTTTAACTTCCAAGTATCAGAACTATTTATACTACTCGTACATCTAAAAGTAGTATTTATTTTAATTATAAAAAAATTTCTAAATCCTATAAAAGTCATCCGATCAAAAATTTTGAAAACTTGAAAGTTGAATAAAAATTCTTTCGCATCACAGTCTAAATTGCTTCGAAACCTACCGTTTAGTGTTGCCATTAGAAAAATTTTAATCCGAAGGTAGAAAATGGACTATTTCATTATCATATTACTTTTAATAGATTTAAATGCTATTGAATTGAAAAATTGTTATTTTAATTCGAATCGAATGATTAAGAGATGTTCGTAGAATCTATCATAAATCTATTGACCGCTATTAGACTTGAAGATTCTTTAAAAAGTTTTTCTATTTCAGTAACTGAACTAATCGCAAAGGCAAGACGCTATGATATAATATTGCATGCAATTGTCTATTAAAATTTTAAAAACATGTTTTGTTATTTTATAATTTCCTAGTACAAGGAAATACATGAAGTCATTTCATTGAGGTTTGATTATTCGATTCTTTTATTTTTAATTTTGAACTTTACGCTTCTGACGTCATTTACTGAAGTGCAAAAGAGATAGGGTCATTCAACTCCACATCTAAATCTCTATCAATTTTTTTTAATATTTTAAAATCTGAACTTCAAACTTCCTCATTATTTCACTGTTTTACTTCCAAAGCAATATTATTTCATCAAAGGTATACTTAAATATTAAGTTCGTCTTTTTATATAGGACGACTCCTGCGCATCTTTCAACGATTATACATTTTAAGTGCGTTTTATCAGTCCTCTTTAATTATAGATTAACGTCTTACGAGTTTTCGCATTATTTAGCATTCACTTATATGTTAAATAGACATTACTGGTACACACTTGTATGGGTAGTATGATAATAATAAAATTCTCAACGACCGGAGACGATACTGAAAACTTCGAAAAAAAAAATGCAATATTTTATCCATCCCGAAAATTGAGCTGCGTGATAATAATTCATATTATCCTGTTCATCTTATTTCAATGGAAAACTTCATAGACAATTTCGGCAATAACTTAGATCAGGGTTGTCCAAACAGAGGCCCGCGGGCCGCATGCGACCCGCCGCTTGTTTTAATATGGCCCGCGACACACGTGTTAATCTCGACATCTTCATCTTCTGTGTAACAACAATAATAAAATGAAATGTATGATTTGTCTACAAGTTTTGTCTGTGAGTAAACAATACAATGTTAAACGTTATTATACAACTGAAAACATTTTACTGGCCCTTCAGCTTTTGTAAGAAATTTAATTAGCCTGCGAGGGTATTTAGTTTGGACAGCCCTGACTTTTTTTTAAGGGGGGAAAATCATCGAATGACTGTTCCCGCCTGGGGTGAGGCGGGAGGGAGTGTCAGACTCTTACTGACTAAAAACCACCCCGTTCCTTCTCCTGCACGTCGAGCCGGAGCCCCGGTTACCCGTTAGGTTCTCCGCGACGGACAGCCCTGACTTAGGTCATCGAAATAAAATTAATGAAACAACTGTTTACTAATTAACATTATCATCGTACTACCCACACATGCACACAATTCACATATACAATACATAATTCAATTCACATCATACTTTTAGTGCCATACAATACAATGTCTTTCATTTATTTAAGGTATAACAATTTCAATGGTCATAAAGGGATGATAATATTATTAATTGGTAATCTAAATATGACAATTTTGGCGGAAATATCTGTAGATATTTAACATTACATGGACAAAAAATAGCTGTAAATATTGTAGGATCACTTTCGACTATACAAAATTAAACGCTACTTTAGAATTCTATATCCCAGTACTATTATGAGCAATCTGAAGTTCGAGCGTATAACAATGACAGCTGTCACAGCAACTAACTTCAGGCTAAAGTTTTGCTATAGTATTTCAAGAGATACAAGTGTATACTCGTGATTGTCATCATTTAGAGAATAAAAAATAAAGTTTCAAATCAAAGTTTAATATTTTAACTGGGACTCTAGAAGCCTACAGATATTTCCACCAAATAAATAAACATCACACCTTGATCTTAACGGGGTTGGCAGGGCAGTAGCTCAACATAGTTAGCAGGGAAGAGGCCAAAGACCCCATGAGGTCCAAGTCCTTGCCACCAGCCGGCGTCAATCTGTTCTATGTGGGTGATAATGTCGCCGGGGTCAAATGTGATCTCTGATTCGTCCGCTGCAAACATCATTAAATGAGTATTAGACTAACCTCTTGTCTTTTGTAAGTTGCGGCCATATTGTGTTTTATACCAGAAGCCGGTGTTTCAATAGATAAGAGGCTAAGATATGTGTGGGTGGGAAAGATTTGGCACGAATGAGCCGTCTCGACCGGAGCGATACCACAGCAAAGGAATCTAGCGCGAAATAATGCTAGCGTTGTTTCGTCGTATAAACAGAGTTATCACACATCCACAACCTATAATATAATGCCCACTGCTGAGCAAAGCCTCTTCCCACACGGAGAAGGTTTGAGCATTAATCACCACGCTTGCTCAATGCGAGTTGGCGATTTCAAACTTATAATAAATTAGAAATTATAAGCCCAGGTTTACTCATAATGTTTTCCTTCACCGTTTGTCAGTGGTGTCTGAATAATCATAGCAAGTACATATAACTCGGAAAACGTCACATTGATACTTGCCGTTCGTAGATTTCGAACCCTCATGCATGAGAAGCGAGCGTCTTAAACCTCCGGGCTACCACGAAACTTAATGAAGAAGCAATGAAGTTATAGGTAGCCCCGAAAAGGCCGGCAACGTATTTGTAACTCCTCTAGTGTTGCGGGTGTCTATAGACGACGCTGATTGCTTAATATCAGGTGATCCGTCTGCTCGTTTGCCAGCCTGCCATAGGAAAATCATTGAAGTGTCTGACTCACCGGCTTGGTAGTCATACAACGCGCGCGCAGTGAGGCCGGGGTCATCATCCAGGTCCTCGTATATCGCGCCCTCGTCCTCCATGCCCTCCGGTGATACGTCTGTAAAAATTAGTAAAAAAAATAATGAAAAAAATATCGAATAACGTTACACAACAACGCTTATTATTTTCCAAAAGATTGAGCAGTCCTAAACTAAAAGTATTTTGTAATAGACATAACAAAACTAAACCAACACTTGGGTCAGGTTTTTCGATAATCATGAGCACTAAGTCTGGAATTGAGCCCAATATTGGCAATGTGCGCGACGGTGGCGACGCGTAGCGTTTACAACATTTGCGGAAGCTGTCAAATAATAACAATGTAAACATTATAATTTTCTTTGCAAATATAAATAAAACCAAAGATTAAAATAGTATTGTTGACATTATTCAAGTGCAATTTATTCAATAGTTTTACTGTAAAATGAATATAATAATAAAAGCCGGGTTTGAAACACATAATATTAGTTTCCTACCACAAGCTGAGACAAAAGGCAATAAATTAGTATTAGCCGAGCATTTTGACTGCACGGTTGGCGCGGTGGCTGGGCAACTGGCTGCCGCGCAACGTGTCGCGGGTTCGATTCCCGCACGGAACAACTCTTTGTGTGATCCACATATTGTTGTTCCGGGTCTGGGTGTCATGTGTATGTGAACTTGTATGTTTGTAAACGCACCCACGACACAGGAGAAAATCCTATAGTGGAGTAAAAAAAAAATGTAAGAAATGTGGAAGAACTTAACGGCCAGAGGTACTTAATACGAGCCACGGTCCATTTCTTTGCTTTGATTTTGTTCTGGAATCAACACATTTGACAGCTGATCATCCCCATTTGTTTCCAATTTCTGCCGTGTTGTGCGCTGCGGTCGTTATCTGTCCGCCACTACTCGCTTCGCACATAGCCAATACGGCAACAGGACTTACTAAATAATCTTCGAAAGTACATATAACTTGGAAAGTCAGGTTTAGGTTTCGAGCCCGCACCCTGCATAAGAAGTGAGTGTCTTAAACCTCCGGCCCACCGCGACGCAACAGCACTGTTATATCATTATCGTAATATAACTGAACTAAATATAACGGAAACTGAGTAACAAATTATATACGTATGTACACCTCTGCCTCACCTTTGTCGAGGCAATCATATTGCAAAACAATGTACACTTAAAACTACGCAATGCAAACAGCCTATATAATATCAGCACAATGCATTACTGCCTCGTTGGCCGAGTGGTCGCAAGTGCTCCTGCCGGGCAATGGGTCTCGGGTTCGATTCCCAAGTCGGGCAAAGTATTACTGGGGTTTTCCAAAAAAATCTCAGTAATAGCACGGAGTCTGAAGTTGTGCCCGGTATTTGGCAATAGGCTCACCCCCTATTACATGAGACTCATAACATAAATAGTGCAAAGTGGGTGTTACATTGTACAGTGGGATTAAATGCATTAATGTGCACCTCTGCCTACCTCATCGGGGATAAAAGGCGTGATGTTATGTATGCACAAACAAAATAACTTACCATCAAGCGTGGTCCCGTTAGTATCCTTTTTGAAATTAACATTCTCTATGACAGTATTCTGACGGGTCAACTCGGTGCGATCATTATCATCTGTAATATTATTCTTACTGTACGGCGACCGTTTAATAGTACTGAATTTATTGTCACTGTCTTCATCGTCATTCTCGTTAGAACTAGAGTATGACGCGTCAAACATGTCATTCTCCAAAATATTCTGCTTAATCATCGGCTCACTCTGTTTCAAGGGCTCAATATCTCTATAAGAATTCTCCTGTTTCGTCTCAGCATAATTAATGGCACTAAATGATCCTGGATCGTTTTCCGTCGATGGACTCAAGTCTGCTGGATCTATGATCGGTTCATATTGTATCTGTGACGGACTCTCCAAACTCATTTTGATTTTGTCTATGTTTTTAAGCGGGCTTGTCTTTGGTTGTTCTTCTGTCTGTGGTATTGGTTTGGGCTCGAGTTTGGTTGGCGATTTGATTGGGGATGATTGTGGGGATTGCGCTTGTGTGAATGTGTTTATGCGTTGCGCTATCACCGAACTGCGGACTGGCTTCTCTGGTGTGTTGTTGTTTGTTCTGTTGGGATTACAAAGTTTGCATGAAAAGTATATTATATCTACTTTAACATAGATGCAGAATATCAGGGGTAAGTCTACTCCACACATTAGTCTTGTGCTTAATAGTTCGCGACTAAGATCACTCAGATCAGTTCGCCGCTCCTAAACGAACTAGTTCGCTCTTTTAGTTCGTCAGTTCCCGATTCCCAGTTGGAGTTGGAATCGCATAGGAACTAGGAAGGCACTGGCAACCAAATCGCTCCCTAGTTCGTCAGCTCCCGACGCCCAGTTGGATTCAGGATTAGAATGAATCGCATAGGAACTAGGAAGGCACTGGCAACCAAATCGCTCCCTAGTTCGTCAGCTCCCGACGCCCAGTTGGATTCAGGATTAGAATGAATCGCATAGGAACTAGGAAGGCACTGGCAACCAAATCGCTCCCTAGTTCGTCAGCTCCCGACGCCCAGTTGGATTCAGGATTAGAATGAATCGCATAGGAACTAGGAAGGCACTGGCAACCAAATCGCTCCCTAGTTCGTCAGCTCCCGACGCCCAGTTGGATTCAGGATTAGAATGAATCGCATAGGAACTAGGAAGGCACTGGCAGCCAAATCGCTCCCTAGTTTTGATGCAAGTTCCTTCACGCAATGAAATATTATATAATTTTCAAATGAGATCATATGTTATCGCATTTTTTAGTTCCGTCTTCACCATAGACTATACACCATATAAACGACTTCACAATCCTTGTACTTGTACTTTGAAATACGAACTAAGGAACTAAGGACTTGGGAATGACGTGAACCAGTTCGCATATTTTGAATGTAGGAGCGCTCTTTTGAACTAGTTCGTTCGCGAACTACACAAGCCTACCACACATATAGCAGGGATTTCCCAATGGGCTACAACATGGGGTTCTTCAAGAGGGGAGTGAATAGGTTTCTTAAGGGTCAGCAAAACACATGTAATGCCCCAAGTGTTGCAGGCGTACATAGGCCACGGTAACCGCTTACCATCAGGTGGGCCGTGTGCTTTTTTGCCACCGTCGTAGTATAAAAAAGGGAAATAGACTACAATGAAGGTTTTCCTGATTTCCTCTTATAAAAAGTTATTCTGAGTGTTTTAAGAGATACGGCAGCAAACAAGCAAACAGACAGACAAAACGAGCGCATTGGGAATTGGGAATTTGGGGACAAGAAATGACAAAAAAAAGCTATCTCTCTATTTAAAGCCAGATGAGATAATTGAAGAGTATCTAACCTGGCGGGCATCTGTCCCTGCGCGAGGTTCTGTTGGAACAGTGCGCGTGCGGCGGCGGTGGAGGCGCCGATGAGTTGTCGCGCCTCGGCCGAGCGCTGCCGGCGGAGCGCTTCGCTCGTAGTACCGCCTGGCACTGCATCGGGACTTAGTGACCTGCGAAATAATTATTATTTAATTTTATAATAATAACTATAGTGAGACAAACTAAATTAACAAAAAATCGCGGATTACTCAACTAGTAGAGCTTTTCTTAGTATATTTACGTGAGTGAACCGCAACTTTTAATTAAAAATATTTTTTTTTGTTTATGGCATAAGCCGGTAAACGGATAGCAGACGGATCACCTGATGGTAAGCAATCGGTGTCGCCCATGGACACCTGGAACACCAGAGGCGTTATAAGTGCGTTACCGGCCTTTTGGGGATTAGGAGTTTGAGGATTGGGGATTCAAGAATTGGGGAAGGGGAGGGTAATTGGGCTCCGGTAACCTCACTCACACGACGAAACACAACGCAAGCGTTGCTTCACGTCGGTTTTCTGTGAGGCCGTGGTATCACTCCGGTCGAGCCGGCCCATTCGTGCCGAAGCATGGCTCTCCCACACTTAAATGATTTATTTGTAACGGAACGTAACGATTTTTTAACATACATAGTTTTGTCATCAATTCATCACTATAGCTGTAAGAAATTGAAATACCAAAGCATCTTACTTTCAATAAAGGAAATGAAGTATAAACATGCTTTTAGCAACGCAAATTGCTATTTTGATTTTGACATAAAGGACCCTTTGAGTATTTAAGGCGTGACGCACAACAAGACGTCACGCCTTTCATTTCAGTTTATTTTCGATGGAAGTAATAAGTTGTGATTTGTACTCACTTGTCTTGTTCCGCTTTAGCTCTCCTCTCCGCTTCGAGTTCATCTCTTCTCCTCGCTAATTCCTCTGCTTTCCTCTTCTCCTGTAATTAATTAAAAACGTATCAAACTAATACTTTTATTTCTTCTTTTCAGGCACATTTCCAGAATCCGTGCTACTACTGGGATTTTTTGTAAAAACCCAGTAATACTTTGCATAACACGAGAATCGAACCCGAGTACCTGTGACCGGCAGTCGCATTTGCGACCACTCGGTCAACGAGGCTGAGTGTAGGAAATTACATAACACGAATAGTCTGCTATTCTAAGTAGTCAGTCAACTTACCTCCTCTCTTCGTTTTCTCTCGGCTTCCACGCGCTTCTTCTCCTCTTGTTCCTCCTTCAGCCAAAACTGGTCCCTCTCTTTAGAATTTATTTCTTGAACTGTAAATAATAAAAGGAATATGAGTTGGTTCTAAATGGTACGTATTCTTTGCTTTTGCTCTTTCACGTCTAAACTAACTAAACAGTGTAAAAAGAGGCAAATGGGTATAATTATCAAACAGTACAGGATTTTAATTCGCTTTGCATATTATCTATATCTATATATATTGTTAGAAATCAGAAGCAGGTTGAATTTTTTAAAAAGGACAATTTATTACCTTAAAACTAAAATTAAAATTATTACACAATTATCCAAAAATTAATAACACAATCATCAAAAAGAACAAATTCTTAAATAAACAAAATGAAAACAATCTACCCTCGCTAAATATACAAAATTACAAAACAAAACCTGAATGTATGTTGCACGACGGATGGTGACCGAATAGGGGCAAGGCGCCGGTATT